ACATGCAAATTCAACTTAAGTACAAACCTAAAGTCCCTAACTTGTATGTAACCCGGGGACTGCCTGTATATTGCTGTCATATATATAGATTTTTTTAAATCCCTCTGCAAAGGTGGAAATGGGCTTTAAAGAATGAGTACGTTTTCACATAAAGTACACATGGGGACATCTAAATCAAAATGCAGTGGCAAGAACAAAAATGCATGTTTATAAAGCACATAGATGCACTTTACAAATGTGCTTAGAGCTGCACTGGCTTTAGGACTTTAAACCCAGAGCGCTATTCTTCTGAAGGGGAGATTAGAAAGAAAAAAAAGTGACTTTAAAGTGGAAGTCAAGTGGGTTGGTTAAAAAAAAAAAGTGCTGTGGTGGTGTTTGCCGTAATGTGCTAATATGTACAGCATACTAGCAGATTATGGCCAATTCACCTGGTAAAAAGATCCCCCTCCAGCACGACACTGTCCGCTCTCCCCTCCATCACTGCAGGTGCCATCTTCTCCCTGTCTTCTCTCTGGTTCGGAATCTTCGGCCTCTTAATTGGCCTGCCAGCATGATGTTACTTTGTCTTGGTATGATGCTTGTGCAGCTCAATGCACAGAAAAATAAAAAATAGCTGACAGGCAAGTAGGAGATTTTTGCCAAAAGGGACTTACATTTTTTCTTCTGCTATTAAAAAAAAAAAAAAAAACACACAAAAAAACCTGCCGGTTGATAATTATTTTTTTTTTAAACAAACTTTACTTCCACTTTAAAAGAAAAAAATTAATAAAGTAAATATAAAAATTAAAAAGACTGACACACATATGCAAGCATATGCACACCTATTACATAAATGAGGATTCCGCAACAAATATTACCCTGTTTCCCCGAAAATAAGACCTACCCTGAAAATAAGACCTAGTACTATTTTTGGGAATTGCTAAAATATAAGACCTACCCCGAAAATAAGACCTAGTTGTGACCATTCCCAGGGCCTGTGGTGGCATAAGGGGGAACTTGAAGAGCCGCGGAAGAGGCAGGAGAGAATTAGTGGTGCCAACGAAGCCAGCACTAGAGAAAGCGAGGTGGCAGCAGAGGGAGCAGAGCCACATAAGCCAATGCCTCCTCTATAGCGCCGGCTCCTGTCACAGGCAGTGTGATACCAAATGCACTCCGCCTGCGAGGAATGATAGTGAAAGCTTCGCTCATTCTGGTCAGCGATTTGTTACCAAATTGCTCTTGGAAAGGTACAGCACCCCTAATTGCCCTTATCATCATATTTTTGTACATGAATACATGTAGATTTTTCTACATGAATAAGAGTAGATTGTTGTACATTAAAAAACAAAAAAATAAGACCTCCCCCGAAAATAAGGCCTAGTGTGTTTTTTTGAGCCAAAAAAAATATAAGACAGTGTCTTATTTTCGGGGAAACACGGGTAGGAATCACTGCAAATGTCAGAGTTGAGAGCAATAATGATAGGGCTATCATGGTTAAAGTACAACTGCACCTCATGTACAGGTTTTCTTTACCAAGTTCCCCCTACCCCCAGCTAAGTACATCCTACTAGGTGAAACACTTTAAAGCCGACCTTTACACTAAAAAAATCTAATTCTACAAATGCATTCCTCTATGTATGATGAATAATAACAGACATGTCAGGTGTAAAATGCTGTGATTTTGAATACTTGCAGAGCATTCACTTCCTGCTTGGAAAGGGCAAAATGACTTCAGTTTTCCCAAGCATTGCATCCTGGGAAGATTACAACAGCAGAGCATTGCCGGAAAATCTCATCTGTAATCTCATGAGATCTCAGGGAAAGGCATTTTCCTCCCCTGAGATGATGTGCATGGTTACATGTCTAGTAACGTGCCAATTTTAAGGAAGTGAAGGGAGATATATTAATCTGCCCTGAGTAAACGTGGCCACTGCCAGAAGACTGGGAAGGAAGAGAGAAATAAGTTATGCAAAGAATACAAAGCCTGAAATTATCTAGAAGTGTGGGTTTGTAGATTGTCATTACTAAACATTTCTAAAGAAGTGTTTGTTATTTGAAAGATATATGTAAAGGACTGCTTTAAGCTGGGTAAACAGATCGAATTTCAGCCAATTCAGCAGGAATTGGATTAAATTGAATTTTGTGTAGCGATTTGTGGGTATTGATTGTTAGATTTACTTTTGTCATAGATGCATGTTGGAAAATTGTAGGCAGTACAGTGCTTGCACCCAATTAGCTTCAAGCACTGTGCAGATAATACCGACAGCAGCAGGTGCAATTGTCAGAATATAAATGACATAGCGGAAGATTCATCCATCCACACTGTTGCCATGGATGGAGGAATCAATCAGGTTTTTCTTTGATCAGCCTTGCAGGCGTGTGTACCCAAGTTTTATCTTCAATGTGAGGCTATGTTTAGAGCCCTACAGCTTTCTCCCAAAAAAGGCCTTCTTGTACTGCACATGGGCACCATGGCCCATCCACTCCTATGGAAAAGCAATACTTTGAGAGCACTGCTTTTCCATAGGAGGCCGAGCTTTACTGGCAGAGTTTTACAGATCTGGTCCGGAAAATGGTGTGAGCCTGCACGCAGTTCCAGTGCATTCCAGACCAGACAAAATGAGACATGCAGTATTTTTCTGGTCTGGTCCAGACTGCGCTGGTGTGAACAGAGGCCAGAAATAGCATTGGGATACATTAGGATGCATTTTGAGTCCGGAAACATTCTGGTCTGGTGATGATGTGGTGTGAATGGGCCCTAAAGCTAGAGTGAACAGCCATATTTTGACATAAAACATGCCTCAAAGCACCCTTCTTTGCCTTTTCTGTCAGTTTTTTTTGTGTGGCTGCTGACTGTTTCTATCCAACCATCTCCTCGATTTATTTGCTTAGTCTTAATACAAATTTCCCCTATAATAGCATCTTAATGATGTGGACATGCAAACAAAAATTATGAATACATGAATCACTGCTTTAATAGCTATCCACAGGTTTTAGGCTGCATAGAAAGACGACATTTTGTTGTGGTAGAACTGCTCTAAAACAAACCCAGTTGCTGGCAAGTAAATAAAAGACGTTTCTGGAGATTACTTTTAGACTGAATGAAAGAAAAAAAAAAAAAAAAAAATCAGCATTTAGCTAGCTTCAAATGACCCCCATCATCAGCTGATAGGAGGGTTACTGCTGATAACTTCAGGCTCAGCAACACACGCCCCCACCCATATATATATTTTCTAATCTATATCAGGGGTAGGCAACCTTGGCACTCCAGCTGTTGTGGAACCACAAGACCCATGAAGCATTGCAAGACTGACAGCCTGACTGACAGGCATGATGGCACGTCAGCTGCCGTGAAACTACAAATCCCATTATAACTCTGGGAGCCGTACCTGTGAGTCTTGCTATGCCACAGTAAGACTGTCAAGAGTCTAGCAATGTCTCTGGCGTCTTGTAGTTGCACAAAAGCTGAAGTGCCAAGGTTGCCTACCCCCGATTTATATACATACCTTAACCAGTTGTCCTCAGTAAACAGATCCTAAATTAAGCAAGTGCTGCACCACTTCAGCTTTGTTCACACAGGCGGCACCTACTCCACAGCCCCTCTTAAAAGCGATCCACAGTGGATTGCTTTTCAGAGGGCAGTAAGAGCATCAGCTTCCCAGCTTTCAGGAGGTGATACTGCAGCCTCCAGAATGCTTTTTATCTCTTTTTTATGCCAATGGGAATCTTCTATTGCAATGCCGTGCCACAACTGCATGCCTACGCCCAGAGGCGTCCCGAGGTGGGGTGACATCCGGTGCGCGTACCGGGTGACACCCTGCAGTGACGTCATTGCGCATTCGCGTGTTGACCATGCACTGTACCGCTGTAACCAGGCAGCGGCCATCTTGGTGATGTACGCCGGCAGAGAGAGGATGGGTCGTTTACCCGGCTAGATAAGTTATGCCGCCGGGTCCCCTCCTCTCTTGAGCAACTGTCGGGCTCTCAGTCCATGACAGAGTGCCCCGACTTTTCAGAGGGGGCGACACCAAAATGACTGTCATTTCGGTGTCACCCCTCCAATGGTGTCACCCGGGTGCGGGCCGCACCCCCCTTGTGACGCCACTGCCTATGCCGTTACAGTGTGGTCCCATTGACTGCAATGTCAGAGTCAGACTGTCAGTCTTGTCACCAGCACCATGCTGTTTAAAATTTGATGCAGCGTAAGTGTAGCGACTGCTCATGCTTGTACAAAGTTTTAGGTGGCGTTCAGGGGGAGGTAAAAATGCAGATCAACCGCCTGTTTTTACCTCCAACTGCCACTGCTTTCTGTAGCATTCGTCTGTGAGCCACTTTCCTCCTGTCAGCATGTTTCTCAGCACAACTATCGATTGGCTCTTTGTGCTGTTGCTCCCTCTCCCAGTCTGAGCCTGTCGTACAGGGGATTGCAACAAGCCAAGTCAAGCCGAATGCCAAGCACTTGCACTTAAAAATGCACTTCAATTTCGAATGAACACATAAGTGCATGTATAGGTTTTCCTAAATCTGTCTGGAGATAGACTTGACTGGATTTTAAAGCCAATCATATGAATCCAACATTACAAAAATTTGTAAAGAAAATACAGGTTTGCATGTTGGTAAATATTTGCACGCAAAACAAAAACCGAGTAACAATCACTCTGAGAAGTAGTGCAGAATAAAACAGCACCATCAATTGCCTATATAACGAACCAATAATGATAAATATTATTTTATTATCACGTGGCACATAAATATTTTCCAAAGATTTGTTTTTGTTTATAAAAATAATAAAAGAGTTGTGTAAAAATACAGCTCGATATCTGTCTCCATAGCCCGCCTATGCTTGCACAGTCATTACAAAGCACAGGATTCCATACATCTTCTTATAGGCTGGACGTCTACATGAATGTGCCTAGGCATGCATAAAGATCAGTGACATTTACGTGGTGCCCATGACAGGCAAAAAAAAAAAACCCCGAGACAAGACCCCCGCTGTCAGTGCCTGTATCCAGCAATACTACCTCCACAGTGGCCTCCAGTTTGCCCTCGAAGGTGAAGTCTATGAGGTCGGGCTTAAGGCACAGCCCGTAGTTCACGGGCCTGACGTCAGCAGGCAGCCGCTCGAAAGGCCTCCGGTCCGGCATGATGTAACGAGAAACTCAGCAGCCTGTCACGAGGAGATGAAAACTGCTAACCAGACCGTTGACTGGAACGTAACGACCAAACCGAGCCCCACAGCGAACACCGACAGACTGACTGGGGCGGAGCCGCGCAAAGATGCAACGTCATCACGTCAAATCGTTTCTCAGCCAACCACGCAAAGGCCCGCCTACGTGCGAGGAACACCCCGTGCGAACGACCATGCCCACTAGTGCGCTAGTTACACCCCGCCCTACGTTAAGATTTACGCCCAAATCACAGCTCTAGTGAGCGTGCCACGCCCATTCTTGGAGCATGCTCTGTTCCCGCGCTGATATCTCAGAGTTGTGGTACTGTGCAAGGGGAAGGGTTAGGCATGGCACTGTAAGCAGTAGGAAGCAATGAGCAATGATGTGACTGCATGCAAGAGGTATTTTTGGCATAGGAGGAAAAAAATATTTCTCAGAGAACTCTTAAAAACTAAGCAAAGTTTTGGGGTGTTTTTTTAAATTTTTGCCCAAGCATTTATGGTTATCATGTTTCAAAATGGCTGGCTCCAAGTCTTTTAGCTCCTCTTCCCCGATTTTCCTGTCAAGTACAAGGGACGGCAGCCATCGACCAGCTTGGAGAAGTATGGAGGGAGGAGTGTTTTCCCTGCTGCATATGTAAAAACAAAAGTTACTTTAATTTTGCTTTAAGATTATCTTTTAATGAAATAAGCGGTGCAGACTAATATACAGAAAAATATATTAATAAAGAGAGACAAAATAAATAACAACAGTAAAATAAAAATGAATAAAAGAGAATACTTCACAGTTCTGGGATTATGAGTTCTGACAGAGTCAAGAGTTCCATAAGCAAAAGATGGGTCTGAATGGCTCTTCTCCAAGCAAGGCTTGCACAACTGATTTCCAGATATTAAAGGAGAACTCTTCTGGGATGTTACGAACTTCTGGACTTTGGACATCCTTCCAAGTTAATTAATTATTCCAGAACCCCACCACAACACCTAGGATTCCTATCAATTCACCATTCATCGTTGATATCGCGTTGCCACTCACTTTTTGGTAAGTTGATATTCACCGCACTTCTGACCATTGTGTTTTTTATTTCTCATCATTGTTCACCCGTGTTATATATATTTTTGTTCATTAATTTTATACCCGTTCTGATCACCTCTGCCATCTGGTGGACAACACGATAACAGCCACATCTGGAGGCGTTCCAGCCTCTACACACATCCCACGTCCCCCAGCCTCCATTAATTAACCCACGTGGACCACACCCCACGTGGACCTTCCATTTCCTGATAAGTCACCCTTTGGTGGTAGCGCTTCCATCCTCATTTTTTCTGATTCATTAAATTAGCTTCTAATCAAGTCTAAATTTGGTAGGTGTATGACATACCTGGCCAAGGAGGTTTACTGTTAATTATCAGACCCTGGACCATCATAATTGGCCAATTCTTGATTCATATGTTCTCGTCTTGACGAGACCTAGCTATGTGTGCAATTCATTTTAAATAACACTGTCCAATTCCAAGTTCTGAAATTGGGTTGATATTGTAACTCAGTTTTATGACTTAAGGGTGACTCTGAGGTCATCTGGGTCATTATCCTTACCAGGCCTGTGTGTTTATCTAAAACCTGTCAATTGCTAATTTATAAGGGGATTAGCTGAGCTTGGCAAAACCATCACCATGCTCTTATGAATTTACAATCTCAATCATAAAGGTACAACTTAAACTGATTAATGTCAGGTCCATCGGTTTTAGTGCTTCACATAAGAACTACAAGGATCCCAGGCCCAGATTAGCAGAAATCCGTTCCCTGGAATTTGAAGAGACCTGGCAAAATGAGGGCATCCTGAGTTTACTACAACTAAATGAAAGGCTGCTTTTGCTTTGAGCTGGGGGACAAGAGAATTTCATATTTAATATTAATAGGCTCAAACCTCGCTATCGTCACTTGCATGTCCTTTTTCCATCATACACGTATGATATAATATTTTACATCAACATACCGCAAAAAAACTTGAACCTTTCCCATGTTATCCAAAATGAGAGAGAAGTTTTGTCAATAGATACACTTCAACTTGAAAGGGGGAACCCGATCCTTGAGACCATAATCCTGAATGATGGATGGTATGCCTGAGGAAACCCCATCGCCCCCTCCTTTTGTTGAAATTCACTACTTTGTGACATAATCAGACCAGAATGCAGATCATTTCCTTTTTCCTTTAAACCTGAGTGAGACAGAATATGCACGTTCGCAGCGCGTTTTGTAGCACATAAAGTAGCGAGTTTTTACGAACAGATCATGACACATTGATGTGAATGGCCAAAGTGCGTGAAACACCAAGTTTTACGCACACCAAGTCAAGAAGTGCTAAGTCTGCCAAAAAGAAGCTCATGTACTTTCTTCAAGTGACGGGCATTTTGCTACAAGCGGCAAAACGCTAAAATGTGAACATGGCCATATAAACGCATTTGGGGGGGGGGGGGGGGGGGGGGTTTTTTTTTTTAGGGGGCATTTTTTTTTTTAGGGTTTTTTTAGGGCAGAAAAAGCGCCACAAAACTCATAGTGTGAATGAGGGCTAAAAGTTCTTCAATTCAACCGTAATTGTCACTAACAAAGTTAACAATAGCATTCGTTGGCAAAACATCAGAAATCTATAATGCTCATTTATCCAGGCCTGTTTAATGATTTTATGGCCATAGGAAGATGAGTAAGTGTAAGTAGGCATCTTTAATATCCACTGAGGCCAGAAAGTCTTCTTGGTATAGAGCAGCTACAACAGATCTTGCTGATTCCAGCCTGAATTTGTGGACTCAAATGTAAGCATTTAGAGTCTTGAGGTCCAAGATGGAGCAAATGCAAATCGGAAGAGTGAACAGGATGAAGTCAAAACCCAGAAAACCTTCCGCAGGAAGGACTGGTTCTGTTTTATTTAAACGATTAGGCCATTCTGCCATAGTTTGGAAGAGGAGAACTTCAGCCAAAACCAGGTGTAAGGTAGGGTCTTACATCTTCCACAAGTATGTTGGTCACCTTGTTAAGGCAAAGAATGGCCAGATCCACAGTAGGAATCGACCACTTTGTGACAAATACCTCACCAACTGGGTGGAGAGACAACAAGCGTTTGAAAGGGGCATTACACTTCTAATCTTCATACAAAAACAGTTTAGAAGGTGGGTGTTAAGGTAAGGTTTTTGAGACACAGGAGCCCTATAGGGCACAAGGCCAGATACAGCACTGGTAGAATCAAAAGGCTGCTCCTCCAGCTTTAGAATGTTACACACTGCATCAATAAGGGCTAAAATGGTCTCTTATACCAGAAGACAACAGTATCCCACACTATCAGAGGCTGCACTGCATGCAGAGCTCAACCCTATAGTGGACAGTGTGCTGAAGGTTTCCGGTACAGTGGGACTGCCCCCCCTCTCGTGTCTAGAATGAGACATGGAGCTGCTGCAGGTGCGTTAACCAACGTACAGGCTCAAGATAGGAGACAAGACTTTCAGTAATCCTGGAACCTGGACAGCTGCTAGCTGACAGAAGTGCTCAAAACCAGAGGGTCGAGTGGCCGGAAGTGACTAACAAATCAGGAATTTTAATTCCACACAGCTCTTGTAGCAGAAGCAGCAGTAGGGAGATGCTTCCTCAACGTTGTCTTGATGGCAAAGAGAGTGTGCGCATGTGACAGTCCACCCAGTGGAAAAATGTCAGTGCTCTGACCCACAGCATTAACTCCTTCCACTGCAAGCCAGCAGGAAATGGGGAATACAGTTATGACCCAGCAACTAATAAAAATGAAAGCTCTCCTAGTGCCCAACCTGAATGGCCTACTCACAAAAGTGAGTATTCAGAGACAGAGCAAAGTGAAAGATTTAGGCGTTCAAGCAGAGCTCAGTACCTGAGGGTCACTTTCAGGCTTACCCCATTCAAACCATACAATGCAGGTCCTGTAGTTATGCATTGTTATGCATTATTATGGACTAAAAACATGCATGCGTCATACACTCTATGGGGAGTATGTTTGGGGGAGTTAATGATAGAGAAAGATCTGGGTGTTCTGGTAGATCATAGATTCAATAATAGCATGCAATGTCAAGCCACAGTATCAGCCAAGGGAGCAAGAAAAAAGATAAGTATATTACCTTACTCATCATCCCCCAGGCAATACTAGCAGTTAACCCTTGCAGTGGGAGGGGCACCCACTGCGAGGGTAATTTGTTTCCCCATGGATGTCAGCTTTAATCCTCTCGCTGCCACCGACGTATGTCGTATGCCAGTGGCAATGGGCTCCTTTAAACAGACTAAAGCCACCAGGACTCTGTTTGCATTTGTAATGTGAACTTTCAGCTACCGCCAGATCGCTTCCAGGGGCCAGTACAGTGCCCCCACCCGACGCTCTCGCCTTGTTTCCTGGGTTCTGCTGCCTGTCCATTCGCTGATCTCATCCCTGTTAACCAGTTGACATCCGCGGTGTTAAACCCCCTTCCCATCCAGGCCATTTTTCAGTATTCAGCGCTGCGGTACTTTAACTGACATTTATTCCGTCATGCAGCGCTGTACTGAAATTAATTTTATACCCTTTTTTGGGGACAGATAGAGCTTTCTTTTGGTGGTATTTATTCACTGCTGGGGGTTTTATTTTTTACTATATTAAGGAATAATTACCGAAATTAAAAAAAAAAAAACAGTTTCCCCTATATTAAATGATAAAACATTTATTATTACCCAATTTTTTGGTAAAATATAAAAGATGGGGTCACGTCGGGTAAAAAGACACTAAACATGTCAAGCCTTAAAATCGCGTGC